AAAGATTCACGGCTGACTCGAAAATGGCCCGTTGTGTGGAGTGATCGTGGAGCATAATGACAAGCTGGCCGTTGCTGGTGAGTTCGATCTGATGTAAGGGGCATTCGAAGCATGTTGATTTATGACGAAGGGCCCGGAAGCATTGAACATGCGACTCGACAAAACAGGCACTGGGGTGGGCGAGCCAACGTGGCACCTGGGGACAGGGCATGGGACGTGAGGCACCGAGGCCAGTGAGGGGCAGCGCGGGGATATAAAACGAAGTGATATACCTGTAAAAGACGGAAGGACCGGGCAAGCCTCTTCAAGGCAAAGGCTGGAAACATCAATTGATGCCTTCTTTTGCAAGCCCGGTGCCGTTTCTGGCCAAGGTACCGAGGGGCCAAGGTGCCAAGGGGCAAAAGCCTTTCCATTGACTCGGGTGCTCAAGATTCATCAAGACATGTCAACTGGAAAGTCGATTAGAGATCGCTGTGACGACAGCTGCAGGCCAGCCGCCAAGCTTAAGCTTGCCCCTGTACCATGGTGCCATTGTACCTTGGTACTCCGTAGAGGTACTCCGTACAGTGGCTGTCGTGCGTGACCAACGAGAAGTCGGCCATTGGTCATGGAGCACGCAAATGTACCCATCGGCGTTTCAATCGAAGCAATCAACGCTCCATTGTCGTCAACTGGTCAGTTGTGCACCCCGTTTGAGCCACGGCATTCGACAGCATCCCCTGGAACACTGGAACACCGAGCACTGCGCGGGGTCGACTGAAGCTTCCTCGAATCCTCCATGCTCCCCCTTCCCACTTGCCACCCTTTCGACATGAATCTCTCCATGTTCGTGTCCTCTCACTTTTGATTCAACTACCTACCTAGGTACCTGCGCCCCTGTGGCACCTGATGACCTGACGACGTTTTTATATATACCCCGCCATCCTGCTCCCTCCCACCTTTGTTCGTTTTTCTCCCCTTTTTTTCTTCTTCCATACTTCTTCCCAACCAAATCCATTACTCATCCATTACTCGTCCTACATTCCATCATAATGGCCGAGAGCAAGTGTCCCCATCTCAACGTCGCTGGTGGCGGCACCCGAAACCGTGACTGGTGGCCCGAGTCCGTCAAGCTCAACGTCCTCCGCCAAAACACCCCTGTCACCAACCCTTTCGGCGAGGAGTTTGACTATGCCGCCGCTTTCAAGACCCTCGACTACGAGGCCCTCAAGAAAGACCTCACTGCCCTCATGACTGACTCCCAGGAATGGTGGCCCGCCGACTTTGGCCACTATGGTGGTCTCTTCATCAGAATGGCTTGGCACAGTGCTGGCACCTACCGAGTATTCGACGGCCGTGGCGGCGGTGGCCATGCTCAGCAGCGATTTGCTCCCCTCAACAGCTGGCCTGACAATGTCAGTGTGGACAAGGCTAGACGTCTGCTATGGCCCATCAAGCAAAAGTATGGCAACAAGATCTCCTGGGCTGATCTCCTGATCCTCGCGGGCAACGTTGCCCTCGAGTCCATGGGTTTCAAGACATACGGCTTCGCTGGAGGCCGTGTTGATGAGTGGGAAGCCGACGAGTCCGTCTTCTGGGGTGGCGAGACCACCTGGCTGGGCAACGATGTCCGTTACAACGACAACAAGGACGTCAAGAAGCGTGATCTCGAGTCCCCTCTGGCCGCCTCCCACATGGGTCTCATTTATGTCAACCCCGAGGGTCCCGATGGAAACCCCGACCCTGTTGCTGCTGCTCGCGACATCCGCACTACCTTTGGCCGCATGGCCATGAACGACGAGGAGACTGTGGCCCTGATTGCTGGAGGCCACACCTTCGGCAAGACTCACGGTGCCGGCCCTGCCACCAACGTTGGCAAGGAGCCCGAGGGTGCCCCCATTGAGCAGCAGGGTCTCGGCTGGAAGAGCACCTACGGTACCGGCAAGGGGCCCGATACCATCACCAGCGGCCTCGAGGTTATCTGGACCAAGACGCCTGTCCAATGGAGCCACAACTACTTCCAGTACCTTTTCAAGTACGAATGGGAGCTCACCAAGAGCCCTGCTGGCGCCAACCAGTGGGTTGCCAAGACCGACGACGAAATTATCCCCGATGCCTTCGATGCCAACAAGAAGCACAAGCCCAGAATGTTGACCACTGACTTGTCTCTTCGCTTCGACCCCGAGTACGAGAAGATCTCTCGCCGCTTCCTCGAGAACCCCGACCAGTTCGCCGATGCCTTTGCTCGTGCCTGGTTCAAGCTCACCCACCGTGACATGGGCCCCAAGACTCTCTACGTCGGACCCGAGGTTCCCACTGAGGACCTCATCTGGCAGGACCCCATCCCTCCCGTCAATTACCAATTGATTGACGATAAGGATGCCGCCGCCATCAAGGAGGAGATCCTCAAGTCTGGCATCGACACCTCCAAGCTCGTGTCCACTGCCTGGGCTTCCGCTTCCACCTTCCGTGGCAGCGACAAACGTGGTGGCGCCAACGGTGCCCGTATCCGCCTCTCGCCCCAGAAGGACTGGAAGGTCAACAACCCTGCTCAGCTATCCCAGGTCCTTGCCACCTTGGAGGACATCCAGAAGCGCTTCAACCAGTCCGGCAAGACGGTTTCCCTTGCCGACGTCATTGTTTTGGCTGGTGTTGCTGGTGTTGAGAAGGCTGCTCGTGACGCTGGCGTTAACATCACCGTGCCCTTCACTCCTGGTCGCAACGATGCTACCCAGGAGCAGACTGACGTGGAGTCTGTTGGCTACCTCGAGCCCCTGGCTGATGGCTTCCGCAACTACGGAAAGTCCCATGGCTCTGTCAAGCAGGAACACCTGCTGGTTGACCGCGCCCACTTGCTGACCCTTTCCGCCCCCGAGCTCGCAGTCCTCGTCGGCGGTCTGCGTGCCCTGAACGCCAACTACGACGGGTCTGCCCTTGGTGTCTTCACCTCTCGCCCTGGTGTCCTAAGCAACGACTTCTTCGTCAACCTCTTGGACAACAATACCGAGTGGAGGGCTACTGGCGAGGACACTTTTGAGGGTTTTGACCGCAAGACTGGTGCCAAGAAGTGGATCGCCTCTCGCAACGACCTCATCTTTGGCGCCCACCCTGAACTGCGTGCGGTTTCAGAGGTTTACGGCAGCGCCGATGGAGCCCAGAAGTTCGTCAAGGACTTTGTTGCCGCTTGGGACAAGGTGATGAACCTGGACCGATTCGACCTCAAGAGGGGCGGAAACAAGAAGGCAGCTCGCCTGTAGAGTAGTATGAAGAGTTTATGATTGTGGAATTTGAGATAGCTACGGAGAGATAGCCAGAGCCCCCCAAACAGCGGGGGAAAGTTTAATGACCGTTATGTTATGCACTTTCAAACATGTATTGACTGAGAATTGTCTGTGAATAGTGCATGCGTAAGTACCATGGCAAGATGATGGCTCGACTATGAATACCATGGTACGTAGACAATCAATCCTGTATTGGGGTCCTAATGTGAAGTCATGTTGACCTGGCAGCTGCGACATGACAATCAATATTTTCAGACATGATGCCAACCCCAATTACTCTTGGCCTTGTGTTCAATTATAAACATTATAAACTGACGTGGGGTGTTCTTTCTCGGGGCATTTGGAGGACCAAACAGGGGCAAACGACAGCGAATTCACACCGAATAATGGTCCGCCGTGGCTTGTGCAGCTGAGCCTGCTCTTTGTACATGAGTGGGTGGCCGCCAGATCAAAAGTCCAGATCGAGTTGACAATGCCTCTTGGGGAATCATGGTGCGAGACGCCGTCTTGGATTGGTGGGACCTTGTAAGCTTATGGTGAGACTGGCAGCAAAATGTAGAAAAGATGAAGGAGACACACGGACAAATGTATCCAGTCGTCGAGCGGCGACTTTTCCGAGCAACTGTGCGTGCTGGACCTCGGTTCGTGCTGGACCTATCCGTCCTCGGGCACTACGGCACGTGTGGGACACGACGGTGGGCGGGCAGAGGGTGCTTGCTGGTGGCGGAGTTTGAGGCCAGAACGTGGTCTCAGAATAGTTGCGTGTTGGTCATGGACACGAACGAGGTGGATGATGTGGTTGTCCTGGGGAGTTGCGCGGCGGCGCTGAACAGGGACATCTAGACTTGACATGTCTGGGCTTCCTCAAAGGGAAGCAAGATATTTAGAAACAACGAAGAGTACTTGCACGCCCAGTCCGGAAACCTACATTGACCCGGTGCCATTACTCAGCTCGTAGTTGAAGAAGATGTGTCTGCTCCTAGTAGGTTCCGCAGAGCATCAACCGTCACATCGCACTCAACTTCGACCATGAGAAGGAGACCACGAGCCCCATGGGGGTGATGAACATTGCCTGCTGCAGTGCAACATCGGTCCATGCGCTAGCCGCAAATGCGGGAATTAAAAGCCAGCTGACGGGCACAGGCACACCAGACTCTTGTTACTCTCGTTGCAATGACTGGTCTCGATGCCGCAGCAAGGAACATGACACATGCATCCCACCCATCATCACCGGGCCGAAGCGCGCGAACCATCAAGGCCGTCCAACCCCCGGATATATTCTCGTCCACGTGCTCGGCATCAAAAGACGCTTCTGCAGGAACAAGAGACACGCACGCACGCTCCCAGCCGGTCATGATGTTGTCATGACTTTAATTCACTCACCACACGTTGCGCAACCCGTCGACGCCACTGGTTCGGGCAAATCTCCAACAACAGGGGTGTGGGTTTCGCCCGTTTGTCAGATGAGCGCCGACGATACAATGTATAATTTCCGCGTGCAATACAGCAACCACATGGACGTGCTGAGCGAGTCGTAAAAGTCCCCGGCGCTCAGGAACTCTAGTCAACATGGATGGAAATGCAGCAACGCGGGCAACATGTATAAAATGAGCCCTGTATGACGAGACCATTAAAAAAAAAAAATCACATATGCTTTCGTATTGAGCCCCTTTGTCTTGTGGTCGTTTGCTAACACCCCCCTTTTCCCCTTTCTCGTGGACCAAGAAAGGCCTCTTCATCATGCTGGCGGCCGTGCTGCTGTTCATGCTGTCTGCATGTGTCGACGTCTCGCGCCAGTCCCCAGTGCGACGAGATGCTCGAGTCCCCGAGACATATGCCCCCAGCAACAGCAGTAGCAGTAACTACAACCGCAGGCTCTCGTTTAACCAAGACGGAACGTTCCAGATATCCATATTTGAAGACTTGCACTTTGGAGAAAGTGAGTCCCCGGCCCCATGACCCCGTCTCCAACATACCCTCGACGGCAAAAACAGCTAAAGCAAGGCCGTGAACCTCCCACAGACGCATGGGACCAATGGGGCCCCCAGCAGGACATCAACTCGGTCAAGGTCATCAACGCGGTGCTCGACAGCGAGGCGCCCAACCTGGTGGTGCTCAACGGCGACCTCATCACGGGCGAAAACACGTACCTCGAGAACAGCACCGCCTACCTGGACCAGATCGTCGGCCCGCTCGTCTCGCGCGGGCTGCCGTGGGCGTCGACGTACGGCAACCACGACCACAACTTCAACATCTCGGGCGCGGGCCTCCTCGCGCGCGAGCGGCGCTGGCCCAACTCGCTGACCGGGAACATGGTGGCCGGCCGCAACGCCGGCGTCACCAACTACTACCTGCCCGTGTACGCGGCCGACTGCGCGCGGAGCGACTGCGCGCCCGAGCTGGTGCTCTGGTTCTTTGACTCGCGCGGCGGCTTCTACTTCCGCGAGCGCAACGCCGACGGCAGCGAGGTCGGCCAGCCCGACTGGGTCGACGCCAGCGTCGTGCAGTGGTTCGAGGCGACGAGCGCGGCGCTGCGACGCCGTTTCCACCGCGTGATTCCGTCGCTGGCCTTTGTGCACATCCCGACCAACGCGTCGCTGGCGGGGGGGGGGGGGGGCGGC